GTATAAATTACTTTCTAAAAATACTTATTGCTTGAATAAATTTTATGTTTTTTTTTTACCATTTATATATATATATATATATTTCTAATTTTTTTATTTTTCTCTTTAATAAATGCTTCATATTTAAAAATTATGCATGTGTTATTTAAAAAGTTCAAGGACATAAATGTGAAGATCTGAACACTCTTTTTTTAAAAAAAAAATACTTTAACTAATATTTTTTTTCAAAACGTAAATTAATTATCAATAACATATATTATGATAGCAGGGAGTAAACCCGCGGTGTCTTTCTTCGAATATCCTCTTCCTCCCTTTAATTTGCTCCTCCAAATCATAATGCATGTCCTTCTCTTGCGGTTTGACTCAGTCCAGATTTCAATTTTATTCTAACAATATCCAGAATATTTAGTATTTTCTATATGTCCTTTTATACAATTAACTTTTATAAATAATTAATTCATTACAATTTACGCAGTACTGACGTGCAATAGTTAAAAGTTAAAACACACTTATATCATGACAGAACAAATAATCATAATCCTAATCCTGTCCTAAATAACGCCAATTTACCGTCCCATCGGCAGTGTAACAGGCGTCCCCTGTGCACCTGCTTTTCTTCAATCACTCCCCACTCCATCCATTTATTTTGGCTTTTCTTCACTTACGGCGTGACCTTCATTTCCAGTAATCTATTTTTGGCCACCTTTTTTATGAAAATATAAAATTAATATATATGTATATATATAATGAAATATACACGAGCATATATTTTTTCTATAAAATAAATAATAATTTTTTTTCACCCTGGTGAAAAATGCCTAATCAAAATGAATGAATGAATGAATGAAGCAGCATGCTCGGCTATAAGCCTGCAAAAAGACATGGAAATCGTAACTCGCAACTACTTGTAAGTAAGAAAGATCTGTGCATAAGACAGACGCTACGAATCGTCCAAATAACGAACTCGTGGACCCCGCGTGCTCTGTATCTCATTTCTAGATTTGACACCCTATATCGAGCGACGGCAATAAAATCAAGAAAAAAATGCCAATTATAAATTATCAGTAATACTTGCTCCATTAAAAAATATAAAATATTTTTAATTAAATTTTATTTTTAATAAAATAATTATTTATATTTAAATTAATTTTATATTTTTAGATTTACTCCTATTTAATAGAACATTTTATCTTAAAATAAATATAAAGTGATTTATTTAGTAGAGACACTATTAAAAAAAGATAATGATTACATCTTAAAATATTAAAAATATCTTATGTTTTTTAATAAAAAATTAATTAAAAAATAAAAATTATTGAAATTAAAAAAATGATCAGGTTCTTTATTTAAAATTCAAAAACAAATAATTTCTGAAGTAGTCAATAAAATGTGACTAGGAATCGGTCCCCCAAAAAAAAAAAGTGACTCTTAAATTTAAAAAAAGTTAGTAAATATAAAGAATGTAACTTGTATGAAAAGTCAATTAAATGTGATTCATGTGTTGCTATTTATAACCAGTTTTTATTTTTTAGATAAATGAAGAAAATTAGAGAATATTCCTTCCAAATTTTAATTAAATTCGTTTTATGAGATCTAACCCACAATAGAATCAATGATGATATTTTTTAAAAATAGTTTAATGCTAGTTAGTATTTGCTTTTAATTTACAAAATAACTTGCATGGAATGCTTAAAAAACATTTTAGAATATGGCCAGGGCGTTAGTACGACGAAGGATAAATTATAAAAGCAACCAATCAATGGGAAGATAAATAGCAGACGTAAACATTGGAAGAATAATAGAGCTGGGGCAAAAAGAGAGTAAAATAAACGAGTAGAAAGTCCGGAAACAGGTGGGGAGTGTCGGTGAGAGTGATTGGAATTCAACTGGGCGTGCATGCTTTCGTATCATTCGCTGCGCAGTGTGCAGCCTTCGCATCCTGGCCCTCCATCTTCACCCGTCTCATCCCAGCGCTCGCATCATGGCTGCTATTCCACGGTGACAAGCCATCCCGTAGCATCCTCTACTCTATACTTACTCTCCCTACTCCCTTGAGATTGACTCCGTCTGACTTCCAGACAAAAATTCACCCAGGCAATGGTCCCCCCCCCCCCCCCCCCCGCGGCGAAAAAACCCCCTCTCACTGTATTGGCCACCAATGACATCGCTCGCCGTTAATCTTTTTCACATGTCAACGAGTCCCTATGGGATTACTGTTTCCGCACGGGGAGAGAGACAGTGTTGGACACGTTTTCGCATGGATTATCATATGCAATCTGCAAGACGCAAGTATAACATTTCACGTCACAGCCCGAACCCATTCATAGGGATCCCACCTGGCCCACTTAGCCCGGCACAATTCAGTGGGGATTCTCATGTGGCCCAATAACAGCCCATGCCAAAAAATAAAGGGCTGATTCATTCAGACAAAAACATGGAAAGGGCCTTGGAGAACGCCCACACACACAAGCACCGACGGTGATAAGCATACACCCGAGTTAGCCTTTACGTATCCAAGTCATGTCGACGGGTCAGCGCTTACATTCATTCCGTTGTCAATGGGACTGTTGCGGAAACGTTTCCAAACCCAATATGCATGAAAATTTGGCCACGCATTCTTTTAAAATTTTAAACGATGCAGGATGGTGGAATGAAGAGACATTTTAGCCGCGCTTCCACAAATTCACTGCCTCCTCCAGTCTAGCTTAATCATGGGAAAAGGTTTTACGTCGTCCCCTTTCCACTCACCATAAAAACCAAGAGCAGCTTTCCTTCAACTTTAAACTGCAATATGTGGTTATCAGATCTCTCACATGTGATGAACACCTCCGCCCACCCCACACCCAAAAAACAAAAAAAAAAAGGGAAAAGAAAAGAAAGAGAGAAAACTGCATGAGTGTGAGTTATTCCTCCCGAGATATGTACGTTTCCCGACAACAGCATGTGCTCCCTCCATCTAATTAAAAAAAAAAAAAATCTTCACTTACGGGTGGTAATGGTGATTCTTGGTTACAATACGGACGCTGCATTTTTAAAGGTAGAAAAATGCACATATTAGATATCCCCATCTCCACACAAAGTAAAAATAATTCCAAATTCATGAGAAACAGAGGATTTTTTTTTTTTTAAATTAACGAACTACCAGAGACAATTTTAGGCAACGAAGGAAAAGTCAAGCTTCCCGCACCGCGCCGTCCCTGCTCCAAAATATTAATTGAAGGCTCTTCGCTCCTGCCAAATTTACTCGGTCGTTGCTACTGATATGGATTCCGTGCCTTGATTTCTTTCTTTTTAATGCAAGATTCTCTGATATAATTGCACATTTGCAATGCTGATTTTTCTGATCGGGAAAAAAAGGTACTGCTGCCCTTGGGATTCCTCTTGCTTTCCTCCTCCCATAATGTTGCAGGTGCAGTAGTGTAACAGTATATATGTCGCATCCGATCGACTCCATATAAAACTTACCTCCTCTGGCCAAAACCAGGCATGCAAATGGGTGAAGATGATGTTTCCATCCGTTGCACGCATATTTAAAATACAAAAACATGAAAATAAAATACTCGTACGGGGGAAGTTGTGCCTGTGACAACGACACCCATGTTGTTCGAGTTGGGCTTTATATCATGAGACCGGATTTCACGTGGTGCTGGCCACGCTTCCTCTCGTCCCGTCAAGTCCTTCCCCGTCTTAGTATGACCGTCTCTCCTTTCCGCGCCCTGATCCCCTTGCTATTCTGCCTTTTACGGCTCTCCTTTGGACAAGATGAAAATGAACATCAACTATGAGATTGAGCTCAGCAAAATAAGAGGCTTGCTGGAATAGGTCTGAGCTCTATTTTGTAGGAGAGAGGACGAAAAACGAATATAAATACATTAATTTGTTAGCTGGAGACCTTGAATGAGGGTTAGAGTGGTGTTCATGATTTGGATTTTACCTGGACTGCGGTGAGATTAAAAATACAGAAATACATTACCTGCATTGTCCAAAAGAGGGCTTCTTCTTCTTCTTGTGACTATCTCGTTCTCTGTGTTTGTTAAGTGAAGTGCATTCGAGGCGACATCAGTCTCTGAAACTTAGTTCAATTTTTTCTTTTTTATAATATTTTGTTGCTATGCGCTCACGCTACTCAGTCCCTCCACCATTCTTAAATCTCGATTCTTCGTCAGGTTTTCATTCACGTTACTTTCAGATCAATCTTGGACCCATTATTGGTCATTGATTACTCAATCCCAATGTATTCGTCAATACTAGACGCTTTTTTTCTTTTCCCTCTTTTTGTTGCCGGGATACAACTATAAAGTGGAAAAGTCAAAGAAACGAGGTCCAGAAATGAAAACCGGCGTATTTTGCTCCCAGAAAAGAAACTATCGTTGCTACTTTAGGAACATTTGCTTGGAAGGTAAGAAGGGAACTGATTCGTGGAATGGGAAGCAAAGAAAGGCTGACCCGCTTGAAATATCATGTTATAGAAATACAAGTGCTTAATCAGTTGATGGAGTGGGGCCACGTCTGGCATAAAGGCCATTATTCCTTTATTTTATTTTTTTTATGTCAATGTATATTATATTGCCCGTAACAGCCTAGTCCTGTGCTACGGGTGGTTGTAATACCAAATTAAAACAATATTCCAGCTCTGGGCTATGAATTGAGACAGCAGGCTTAGGACGCAGAACCAGGTAGTAAATACAATTGTAATGCGGGAGCCAGAAAATGCTAGCAAACAAAGGTGTCGCGAACGGGATTTAAAAAAAAAAAAAAAGACATAGGAAAGGATGAGAATGAGGAGCGTATAGCTGCGAAATTGGAATTGAAATTATCGGAAAGGGAATAAAATTGTGGTGAGTGGAGACAAACTGGAATCAAGTGTGAACAGAAGAAATGAGAGACCATTCAGTCATTCACGTGGGCTGGTGTCATTATAACGCCCACAACGACTTCCATCATTGGAACCTCCACGCACCCAAACCATCATTTTCTATTATTTTATTTACACCATCCCAAAAACAAGTTCTATTAACATTATCCCGTACACCTTACATCAACGTGGTACACTCTTGCTAAAAGTGAAATTTTTAATTTCAAATTTCTCTACAATTTCATTAATTTCCATCAAGGGGGAATAAAATCACTGTAATTTACAAAAGTCACCCCGTTTAAGATTCAACAATTCATTGGCACTACTCCCACGGCCATACCAAAATATTCCACTCCGATTCGAAGCCGGGACGACTCCGTGGCACCCACGTATCTGCCATCTCCTCAGCTTCCTCCGGAGCACTGTATGTAAGCTACACTCCCTCCTGCTCCGCCGCCCAAGGGGACTGACTCAATCGTTAACCAAAATAATGACCAGCCATTAAAAAAGAGGTCGTAAACCATATTCACTGGTACTTGCCCAACCCTACCGCGATCGCTCGGCCGCGCAGCCTACCGCCGGCCTCGGAGTAGCTTCCCCACCTTCCGCACTACCAAATCGTTTTTTCAGTGAAACCATTAAGTAGCGGCCGAGATTCGGCCCACACCTCAAGATTGCTCCTCATTCCCGCGTGGCAGTGCCTTTGAATCTCCACTGGATTAGCAAATCGGCCCGACCTCCCTGACTCCGAGCCCGAAATAGACCGAAGAACCTCTTCGAACACGGCTTCGTCGCAGGGAATCGCCAGGGGCCCATGATTAGAGAACCCGTACTCTTCCTCGGCTTGAACCAGAAGCTTCTTGAAGACGGGATGGTTCAGGTAGGAAGCACGCACCACAAATCTCCTGGAGTTGTTGCCCACGCATACGGCCACGTGTCCGGCGGGCACATCCGAGGGTATGCGACTGGCAGACATGCGAGCCTTGTTGCGCCACTGTCGCAGCATCTGGCGCAGCCTGACAATGTGGCGGATTTTGCTGCATTTTCCGATTCCGGCAGACATTTTTCCCTAGGAAGTGATGGGAAGAAACAAGCTGCACTTTGTTTCTCGAGCTACCCTGCGCCTGGAAGAAGGGGAAAAAATTGCCGGGACCGGAAGAAGCGGAAGACCCGTGCGATTTATAGGGGCAAAGCCTTGAAAATACCCGTGAACTTGCTCATAATTACGAGCCACTGCTTACTGCTTCCGTGAATGATCAAGGGCTGTGATTGTTAGATCCTGCCGTCCTAGCACGATCACAATTACAGCGGATCCATCCTCCACTCTGGTCTGTGGACGAATTTTACAGTGTTTGACCTGATATGTCATACGGGTGTGGTGGCATGGTGTATCGTATAAAACATGAAATCACGCAAAAGTATATAGCGTGATTTTGAAATAATTCTTACACATCCCAAATTACACTTTTAGACCACATCACAAACATTAATGAATCTCAATAAATATATTTAATAATTTTATATTTTAATAATATAAATATAAATATTTAAAAATACTCATCATTTAATATATTAAAAAAATAAAGGTAAAAATTAATTATAAAGAGAAAAAGAATAATATTAAAATTGGTATATTTAATGAAAACTTTAATCTATCCAAATTTTCATGCACTCCGTTCAATCCAAAATATAATATATTTTTAACTATAATTTAAATACTAACAAAATTCAGTTATATACTTATTTTCAGTTAAAAATATCATAAATTTTTTTTTTACCTTTTTTTCCCAACTATCAATAATAAATTAAATGAGAGAGATAATTTTTTTAATGAAATATTATAATATGAGAAAGCACTAGCCTCCTGACATAAAAATGAAGTGTTAGCTATCATGAAAAGTGAAAAAAATGTAATATCTACTGCAAAACAAACTAAGTTAATAAATACAAGAGTTAAATAGAAAAAAAAAATCAAAACCTATCAATACATTTCCAACAAAGATAAGCTAAGAAAAAATGTATTAAAATTTGATCCGGAGGGAGTATTTTGGGATTAAGAAGCCTTTTCAAAAGTGTCATGTATAATTTAGGGCAGCGGAGTATTAAACAATACTTTTTTTATTTGAACAAAACAATATTAAACAATACTAGTACGCTATCTTCTCCAAAATATTTTTTATATATAAACATTAATTAATAAAAGCAACCTAGTATCTGGGGAAAAAAAAACATTCCAGTGGAACTATGGGTAATTAATGGCCATATTCTTTTTTTTTCCCCCGAAATTAATGGTCATATTCTCATCTCTAAAAAATAGTACTAGTATATATAAATTACTAAATACTATATATTTTTAGGTTGGAATGATTATCAAATAGTATAAGCATTTTATAATTTTCCTTCTATAATTTTTTTATCCTAAATATAAGGATGGCCGTAATTTTCTTAATTATTGATTTTTTATGAAAAATGTTAAATTTTGAACAAGGGGTTAATTAATTAAGTGGCATGCAGATTTATAAAATATATAGGGCCAGTTTGGGAGCAGAAAAATTTTTCAGACGTTTGATAACTTTTATTATGAGGATTTTATTTAATCATAATAAGATGGTTAAAATATCATTCTAGAAAAATGAGAAGTGGTGTTTTATTTTTTATATAAATAGTTGTCCTGCTTGCCGTTATCTTTGTCAGTAAAAAATAAAAGTGTTTATAAATAATTGATATTTTACTGAAATTGTAGGGTAATAATTACAGTTATTCTAAAACTAGGCAATTTTTTTGCAGGTGAACACCATATGTGCAAGATAAAACAAGTCAAGCCATATTAGTTAACAATAAGCTAAGTATTTATGTAACATCCTAAGCCTTCATTTTAGTTTAAAGGTAGAATGGTAATTTTTAAATAAATTTTTGATTAATGATATTTTAGGGGACTAATGTACTTAATGGATCTTTGGATTGTCTTAAATGAAAGCTAGTCGGAGTTTGAGCAAGCTATAGCACAAAGAGAGACCCAAAAAAAATCTAGAATTCTATGTGCAATGTGTAGCGGTAGACGTGTCAATGGGCCGCAATGCATGTGCAGAATTTATACTTATCAAACTCGCAAAAACGGACCAAAATCAAAAGTGAGAGAAGAGGAAATGCAAGAAAGTGACGAGAAGCAACTTGAGGCTCCTAAGGCTCGACTTGAATAGTTATTTGGAAGCATCGGGAGCAAGTTACACCCTTTGGTAAACTTCCTTCACATCTTCCTCTCCATTTTTATGCGAATTTTAGACTTTACGGGCGACAAGGGCTATGATTTTGGTTTCTGTGGGTTTAAACTGAACCCATTAACTTAGTTAAAATATTTGAAAGTTAAATCAAGTCTATAACACTAGATTTATAGGTTTTATCATGATTTAAAATTTTTGACTTAGGTTTGAACAAACCCTATATGAGAATTGATAGTTTTGGGATAATGTGGGTAAATATTGATGATATTAGAGTGTTTGGATGTTCAATAGGATTGATGGAATGGATTAGAAGGGGTGATGTTGTTAAATGAGGAGTTTGGATGTAATGGGCACTCAAAATCTAGTGATTTTAAGGTTTATTCAGAGTGATAATTGATAATTATTGCTTAATTGTATAGATTAAGGGATGTTTGAATGTTTCGTGCATGTGGAAACATGTGAAGCAAATGTTGAACCATGGTAGCTCTTTTTGTAATAAAAGGATTGAAGTAACGGAATAATTTATACTACTTGATTAAAGTGCTTAACTATTTTTGAGTATATATAAAAATTTTCTATATGTGATTTAAAAGCATTGCATATTATGAAATGTGATTTTTGTGCATTTGAAATGACTTCCAAAAGATGAAAATTATGACTCTTATATGAGTTAAAAATGAATTGGATACAAACATGTGTTATGTATGAGATGTGTGAGCATGATCATGATAGGGGGTGGGAGTTTGCTTGTAAAAAAAGGTAATAGAAGTTCATATGACGTGTATCTCCTTGATGCTTAGTTAGGTACAGTGTTTAAGATTATCTCTTTAGTATTTAAGTGGAATACGGCGTTAGAGATTGACACTCCTTAGCATCAAAGATGCCGTGTTGAAGTAATAACACCCCGATTCATGTGTGATAAGAGGAAATCATAGTTCGAAAGTGAGATAAGACATCTTTAGGCGACTAACCCTACCACTAATGGTGAGCTCAGGCCATTTGTGAATGCGCACTTAGTCCAAGAGCCTAGAGTTTTAATCGGGATGATATAGAGGCTTGAATGGTATAATGATCATGCTAAAGTGAAAATGAATCATGATGATTGAAAAGATTATGTGGATTATGTTAAATGTATGTTTTTGTGCATATTAACTTCAGTCCTTTATAGTTGTGAATGTTAATTGACAGTAATGAATTATTCTGTTACTAAAATGTTTATTTTACCCTATGGTTATATTTTACACATGAGGGCCCCAGTATGAGCAAAGGAAAGGAAGGAACAACTGAAGAGTGAAGAGTATCATTGTATAGCTTTTTTCTTTTTTTTTCTATTTTGAGTTTTGTAACGAATATATCATGATATTATGCCAACCTATGAATATTTCTCTGTTTTGCCATTACTTGCATGAGAATTTATGAAAAGAGTGCATATCTTGCCCTAGATTGAAGGTGCTTGAGATTACATGTGTGTGAATAGACAAGATACTAGTACAAGTGATTTATTGCGATAGTTATCTATTAGGATAACTAAAAGGATGTTTTTGTTGAATTTTATCCACTCCTTTACATTATTGAGATTTGGGGGTTGGGTGGTCATTTGGTGTATAAATAGTTGTTTGTGTGATATAATTGGCCTAATATATTGTGTGTGGTTCATTTGAGTTAGTTAAAGTGATTTCAGAGTTAATGGCATTAAGTGGTGTGAATTGGACGCCCTTGATTGTGTTTTGAGGTGAAATGGATCATTTGGAATTTGGGTGTCCAACTTTTTTAAACAATTAAGAATTTGGATGTGAGATTGGTGCCATTAATTAGACAACCTAAAGAGTTTCATGTGGATACTTGAATCGCTCAAATTGAACGTCAGATGACGAAATGACACACTCTTGAAGTTCGGAGTGCTGTCATGATAATAGGCGCGCGATGTGGCGCTTGACAGTTGCGCCGCATCATAATGCACACTTAGGGACTCATCCCTTTGTATCATCCACCATGGCTGATGTGGTTTGCACCGTGGCGGGTGAGCTAATTTTTAGAAAAAATTTTAGATTGTTTCAGTTTATTTTTAAGTGCTAATTGGTTTTTTACACTTCTGTTACTTTGTTTAACTCATTTTAAATTAAGGTTTGAACTCAAATAACTTTTGAAAAGAGTTTTTCTTAAAATTTCAATATTTTAAAACAATTACTTTTAAACTATTGAATTGTAATAGCTTTTACTTAAAATTTTAATTAATTTAAATTATTACAATGACGTGTTAGAATATTATTATAATAATATTAAGACGAACATTATAATCTACACTAAGATGGTGGTGTTGAAAACTTGAAATTGTCAAAAATTATCTTATAAGAAGGAGATCAACGCAGTGCTGGTTGCGCATGTTAATTCTTCCATCCTTTCCCTTCTGAGTCAAAAGTAGAATTTCAGCCGTGATGGATGGATAATGTCAAAACGTCAAAATACACTCCCTCTTTTAATTGTAGATTGACAGCCTTTGATCTGAGCTACTTGATGTGATATCAATTAGAAAATGATTGAAATGAAAAAAAAAAAATGGAACATCGCCTCTTCCGTTGATTGAAAATATTATCATGCTATTCACAAATTGCTCCCCTCCCCCCATCTCAGCCAGTTTGTATTTTTTATTTGAATTTGCCAATTAATAATAGGAGAGGAATACGGATAGAAGCACGAAAATACTCTCATGGCATTAAAAAAAAAAAAAACTCCTACATGACAATATCTTGGTCTTCTAATATCTTAAAATTTTAGCAAAAAAAAAAGAAAAGAAATTATTTGATTCTTATAATCTTAACATATTCACAAGTCAATTTCATGACTTTCATTTAGTGCAACTCAATACTTATAATTTTGAGTTAATTAAAATTTAATTTTTAAATTTTAACTCAATGAAACTCAATTTTTATAGTTTAAA